CCCCAAAACCCCAAAACCCCATTTCTCAAATTTAAGAATGTAAGAGAATTTAATAAACTGTAAAGATTTAATATCAATTTTATGGTGTACTCGCATTAGAATTATCGTTTGTATTTTTAACTTTGAGAGAATTTATTTTTTCAGGAGATGCATAGCTAGTGAAGTTATTTTGTTCGTATATTTCTCTCTATATTTCCTCATAAATATCTTTAGTATTGATTTTGTTTTATTCTTCATCACTAATCTAGGTTTATTCTTAGTCATAATCTGATGAATCTTGCGAATCTTATTATTGATCTTCAGCTTAGAACATTTACTTGATCTTATGCTGAGCAGATTAAATTCCAAAAACTATCACAATAACCAAATTCTTAAAGACACTTATTACTATAAATACTAATATGATGTAGCCAACATTTTTTAAGTTATCTCCTTTCATATCTTTCACTTAAATTAGGATAAAAAATGCTACACAAATATTCACAGCCAATTCATCAAGAGCTATTGTAGTCTGTGAAATCTCTTCTTTAAATGGCTTTTAGGATAACAGATATGCGATCATCCCAAAATTACAAATCATAATGATCAAGCATTAAACTAGTGGGTATGGTGTCCCGTAAACTATCACAGTTACTATCACAAGTCTTTGATACAAGAAAATAGGGTAATAATATGCCTACAAAAGCCTGTTATTTTTAACCTCATATGTGAGCATTCCAAATTAGTTATTCCATTTCTCTTTATTCACCGATTTTCTATGATGATAAATAAGAGACATAACTAAAAATGGCATAAGCATTGCAATAGCTCCTGTGATTAAAGCTATCCCACTTGCCAAAACCATACTTGCTGTTCTTATCTTAAGGAACTAACTGTTTATAACTAATTAAAATATCAACTCCAAATACATCTCTATAAAAGCTCTAAGTGGTGCATTGAAAAAGAATTAGGAAATCATGTCATCCCATATTTTAACATTTTTGCATAATTTATTCAAAATTAAACAACCTGGCAGGACAATTAGCAAACTAAAAGTCCACAGAGTTAATTTTTAGCCATAGGAGATAACAAAATACGGAGATATCTCATCATCTTTGAATTTGTAATAAATAAGATAATCATCTTCTCTTTCTTCATATCAGGAATTACGCTTCCAAAATCACTTAAATCACCTGATGCAACTTGCATAAAATTGGAAAAAATTAGAACATTTTCAGGAAAATCAATGTTAATATAAAGCAGAATTGCAAATATCTAAAGGGAGTGCACAAGTCCCCATAAGAACTGCATTGTACTGTTAAGCAGCATCTTAAGTGCGACATTGAAACTGCACGTTGACATAAATCCGTACCTTATTGTTTAACCCAATCCATTAACGATCATTTTTTCAGTGTCAGATAGAAAAATAAAAGGTGCTGGATGAACCATTTATTCTAGATTTCTTAGTTTGTTTCCGCTTGAATCTTTAATTTAGCCATAATCCTTTAGAGCCACCGTTAAGTCTTCTTCTCCAGATATTGTTTACTGAAAGTCCTAAAGTTTTATCATAAATTTACTGATTGATCTGTTTGGAATTAGCTTTTAGTTTGGATCTTCAATAGTTCTGTAATCAAATAGATAGGATTTTCCTTCATAGTCCAAATGAAGATTCATGTTTGACTTTTAAAGTGAAGTCTCATTTTGAATATATACATATTTTGAAAAGGATATATAGAGTAGGTTGGTTTTAGTTATATAGTCTACTTTGAGAATTGGAGGAATAGTTTCTCTGCAACCACTAGAGTTACATTCATAGCCATACTCAACCTCGCATGCACTATTGCATCCATCGCCAGAAAATGTATTCCCATCATCACATTGTTTATCGATTACTAAACCATCTCCACAGATATCTTCGCATTGATACTCCTCATTTGTAAAAAGACCAGGAAAATCTTCACATTTTGTGCAAGTATGTAATTTTTCATCATAAACATGGCCAGGAAGACACAAAATGCATTCATTTATTGCTTCACCAACGCAAGTTAAACAAGTTTCATAGCATTAAGTACATAATCCAGTATATAAGTCATTTACAGGTAAAGGATCCCAAAAGAAAAATTATCGGAGTTTGCATTAAGGAACGACACATTCTGAATCAGCTGTCAGTAAGAAACCTTTTCTTGCTAATACATTAAATTCATTCAATTCTATTAAGTCATTGCATCTATTGCATTGAGTGTATGATGGGCCAGTACAACTGGCACAAGCTTTATTACATTCTAAAACAGACAATATCATGATTATAAATCTTACATTTACAGGTTTTGTCTGCCTTATCCCCGTAATATCCATCAGGACATTTGAAGTAACATCCATAGCCTAGTTTAAAATAACCAGTTTCACACTCATTGCATTAAGTTTTATAATCAGACCCAAAGCAAGTTTTGCAACCTTTAGGGCATTTAATACATGCATTCTCAGTTGTATTTCCATAGCTTCCTTGATAACATGAGTCTGTACATTCATTATTTAAGTAAAAGAAGTTATTTTTGCACTTAGTACAGGAGTTATAATTTGAATCCCAGCAACTCTGGCATTTATAGTAACAAGCTAATAGGAAAAATTATATAAAAGATAAATATTACCTTTGACTTAAAATATGAATGAAACAAAAGCCTATGAAGCTCCGTTATCCTGACCTACACACTCAAATTAATAGCTTCCTACATCTTCATCTGTTGTAAAACCAGAAAGGGTGCCGTTTGGGAATTGTGATACAAAATAAGGCAAACTGCCGCCACCTGCAAATCTATAAAATGTAGTAATAGGCAAGCTTTCTGGATCTTGAAATAGACTAGAAGTATCGATATCAATTTGAAATCTATTATTGGAAATAGCAAATTAGTCCTAAATAGTAGCTATTGAAATTACAGGCTAGTTTTATTGAATAAATATAGAAAAATCATTTGAAGTCTAACTCAAAATATGATCAGGATCATCAAATTTAACTGAGAATGCATATGATCCCCCTTGTGAATTATCATATGGGGATAGTATCAATTTAGGAATAGAAGCATCCCAGGATATCCATCCACTATTAAAAAGTGGGTGTCCAGAAACAAATTAGGCTGAATTTATATATAAAGTGGATATCATTTGCTAGCCATAGGCATCAACTGCATTAAATACAATCTCGGAAGTTTGAGGAATTGCTACTTGAATATTTTATTAAGGAGTAGCAATTTAAAACGTTTATTTTTCAACAACATTAAGAGAAAATTGAATTGACTCAAAGTCTGTATTTAAATCTTTTACATCGCAGTTAATTTAATAGCTTCCAGCGTAAGAATTGTCAGGGGGAACTTTTCCGAATATTGTAACATTTCCATCAACTGTTTTGTTGAATTCTGCCGTTATCCAATTAGCATCTTATCCTGTACTCGTGTATGAAGAGCATATAATGGTAAGAGGATCTTTTTCAAAATCGAAAAAGTCTGAATACCAGAATGTTTTAGAAAAAGACTGAGGTACTATAATATCAGGAATAGTAAAATCAATAGTACCCACTCTATAAGGAGGATAATTTCTTTTGATTTTCAAATCAATATAGTAGATATTTGGCTAAGGGATATTAAATGCATCAGTGACTTCCAATTTAATTTTATATTGAACTTAGACTGCGATTCCAGCTGGTTAGGGAGCATTTACTGCTTTTACTTATATTTATTTTGCACCCACATTATTAAAGAAGAACCATTGATATGGAAATGCCACTGGATTATTAGATGTGTCTAGAACAGTTACATTAGCGACAGGAGAATCATTCTCTTTATCTTAATCAATATATACATCCCAAGTGTAATTATGATGAGCATACATAAGAACCGAGGTTGTGAAGTTTTAAACCACTGTTGGAGGAGAATTTTTCTCAATATCATACCTAAAAACATTTGATAGAGTAGACTAAGCAGGGTATAGATTAATGGAAGCTTATATTTACAAGTTAAAGCTACCTCCACAAGAGTTATTTGTTGGAGTCAATACTATTTGAAAAGAATTGCTGTTGTAACTAAAGCACCATGACCCTGCTGCGGGAGTTGACACAAAAGTATATATCATTAGCATTCCCGAGCATTAAGTTATCTAACTTATGCTAACCGTTTGGTTTGTTCCGACAATAAATCCACCTGAAGAATTACTTATTCTTGGGCCTGTTCTATCTGGAATAAATGGAATAACCGGAGGTGCAGCAGGATTGCAATCTCCTGAAAGAACTCTATGATGAGGTACTGCTCCAAAAGTTGTGTTGACTAAAATTCTAAATCCTGAAGGTTAAGTTATTAGTTTCTAAATATCAGTTACTGATGCTAAAGTTGAGATAAAATCTGGGTCATTAGCATAGTAAGGAGTAAAATCTTCAAAACTTCCTCCACCATTAGATGATGGTTAAGTTATTGCTGAGACAGTAGAAACTTAGCAGCTCTCTTGCAAAACAAAATTAGAAAAATCACTCATTCTTGATACAACTGAAAGTTGAGGAGAAGACGTTAATATATACAAAATAGAAGAGGAGCTAGAGAAGGCAGCTTTGTCAAAATCTGCAGTTGTGTTAGATATTTTGATAAGGTTAGTTTTTGCTGTGAATGGACTTGATGCTGAAAATGCAAATATGTAAGAATTAAGTTGCTCTGTCTATGCTACTATTACCAAATTAGAGGATGAATGATAGTGCAAACTGCATCCTCTTGGTATTATTTATTATTATAAAATTCCATTTTTAAATAAAGAATTAACTATAGAGTACCTGACGATATTTAGACTTATGATAATTCTATTATTTCAATTTAATCTCAAATCTTAAATTCAATCTTAAGGGGTTTTGGGGTTTTGGGGTTTTGGGG